CAATATAATCTTGTATTAAGATAATCTTATATATAATCTTATATTAATATAATCTTGTATTAAGATAATCTTATATATAATCTTATGTATATTAATATAATCTTATATATTAATATAATCTTAATATAAGAAGATAATCTTAATATAATCTTAATATAAGAAGATAATCTTAATATAAGAATATAATCTTAATATGATAATCTTAATATGATTATATTAAGAAGATATTAAGAAGATAATCTTAATGTAATTATATTAAGAAGATAATCTTAATATATAATCTTAATATAGTCTTAATAATCTTAATATGATCTTAATATATTAATAATATAATTTTAATATAATCTTAAGAAGATATTAATAAGATAATCTTAATACAATTATATTAAGAAGATAATCTTAATATGATTATATTAAGAATATAATTTTAATATGATGTTAATATGATCATATTAATATGATCTTAATATGATCTTTATATGATCTTACGATATTAATATGATCTTAATGTGTTATATGATTTGGTAATGTGTTATAAGATTTCGTAATGTGTTATAAGATCTTAATATGATTTGGTAATGTGTTATAAGATTTGGTAATATGTTATAAGATCTTAATGTGTTATAAGATTTGGTAATGTGTTATAAGATTTGATAATATGTTATAAGATCTTAATATGATTTTAATAAGATCTTAATATAGGTTTAGTAAGATCTTAATATGATCTTACTATTTGTGAGATTTGGTAATGTGTTATAATTTGCACTTTTGGAGCTAAGATTTCCTTTAAATAAAATATTTGTTTCTTTTGCTATTTGTGTTTGGAGCTAAGATTTCTTTTAAATAAAATACTTATAATTTGCACTTTTGGAGCTAAGATTTCCTTTAAATAAAATATTTGTTTCCTTTGCTATTTGAATTTGATTCACCAAGATCTTATAATGATCACTCACCCAAGAAAAACATCTTACTATGATTTTTTTTGGTGAGCACTCACCCAAGAAAAACATCTTCTTATTTTTTTTTTGGTGAGGTCTAGGCTTTTTGACAAAAAGTAAAGCCGTATGCTGAAACCATAGTACGAAAAATGGGGCGGTTCAAATTCTAACTACCCGGCCGCTGGCCGGTTTCGGTTTCAGTTTCATCTGGTTTTGGTGAACTGGCGGTGTATTTTTAAAAAATAAAAAGTATATGTATAATCCAAAAAAAAAAAAGGATTTTTGTAATGTATTTTTTTAAAATGTTTTTCATCATTTTGGCAAAGATTGGAAATTTTGGTTATTTATACTTATTTTTACATTGTTTCATATTTTTAAATTTTTTTTTCAAAAATACCCCTGGGCACAAATCGATTCTTTAAAATCTATTTTTCCATTAATTTTCAATTTCATTTGGACGTGCTTTGTTTAATCATGCTTTAAATATATTTATTATACTTTATTAGATTTTTTGTATTTTTTATTTTTTAACACTTTTTTTTACCAACTGGTACTTGAACCGCTTCTAGCCTATGTCTGGTTAATTGTTCTGGTTCGATTTTTCCTACATTGGCTGAAATCCTAATATAAATTATGGTTTTGGTATTAGAATCTCTTTAAATGACCTAAAAATTATTTATGCCGTGATTATGAAATTCAAAGTTCCATACACGTGTAGATATGTAAATTTATGGAAATTTAAAATGGACAGTCCAAATAATATGTTTGAAGGTATACCATTATTAGGATTTAAATATATATATTTTTTGATGATCCATAATTGTCAAGGTTGAGATGATCATTTTGAGGGTTTTCCAACACTTGAACTACTACTTTGAGTGGGATTTGAGGTGTAATTTTATTTATTTATTTATTTGTAAAGATTGGGTGTTTGGTATTTTTGGGGAGGGGCATGTCTTCCCCTCTAAATTACCCAAAAAAAAGAAAAAAAAATGCTCAAGCCTTATGATAACCTTTTCCCTTGTTCTCTAGATTTAGTTATTTTTTTGTAATATGGTTTTGTTTCACATTTCTAGGGGGAAAAGTCTTTACAAGTTGATTAGTTTGCAACTTTCTATTATAGAAGTAAGGTACACCTCAAAAACCCGATAAAGAATAGTGTTCCGAAGTTGGAAAACCTTCGCATTGATGATCTTAAACTTCCAAATGTATCAATATAAAGAACAAAAAAATTAAAGTCTTAAAAATAATGTATATTGTAACAAATTATATCGACCATCCATTTTCTACATTTTCAACTGTTTATAAATATGTTTGATCTATATTATTTTTGAAAATATAAATTTTATAATTAGAATTGAACATAACTTTTCAAGTCAGTGTAAAGTTTCAATACTTAATTATATTTTCCAACAAAATTAGCGGTGTGCCTTATTTACATAGTATAAAATGGACAACTTATACAAAACCTCACCATTCTAAAGGAGATATTTTTAATTTGTTTTTCTTTAGTATTTCTTATATTTTAAATATACATTTAGACTATTTCATAATCCTAATATTTTGTTATTTTTTCTTTAAATAATATGATACTTGCGTCCTTGGTATTTGTATCGGATATACTAAGACCCTAGATTTGTCTTTAGAGGATTTTTACATGTAATACACCACCATATCCAAAAAGAAAAATATATAAAGAGACTATTTACTTTTAATACAAGGAGGTCACAAATCATTCATGTACATCAGATTTTAAATTGGGTGGTTGTGAGTGTGTTATTAACTAGTCTCAAAGTTAAAAAAAAATTTCTCGAACTTTATGTAACACCCCAAGTCATTCAATTTAACATATAATGGCCAGTAGCAATTGTGACCTCCATGTAACAAGGATAACCGGTCTCATAATATACAATCCCTATTCAAAATAGCAGCTAAGATATTCAAGGATAACAATGAAATTTTGTACTTGCATGTTATAATTGTTAAAGTGTATTTTTATAAATTATATTAGCTTTTATTTTATTTTATTTGGAGTGATGTAGTTAGCGTTATTTATAACCTTGTGTATTGGGAAGTTGTGGAACTAATAGGTGGTTGGT